GGAGAGTGATGTAAAACCAGATCATCCTACAGCTCTTCTAGTGGGGCTTGTTCTGTGAGCAGGACTGGCCTGTGACACTGGGCAATGTGTGCAGTGGCAGCACACATGACTGACTGCACGGTGTCCTGGCAGACAGCAGAAATAGTCTTGTTTCACTTATTGAGACTTAAGTTGAAAGCATTGCCCACATTTGTGGTATGGACCCTGCATAATTCTCAATACAGGATGAGGTTTAATAGGAACCTCAGGAATAGCTAAAGCGATGTTCTGGATTGTTCCACGCTGCACAAGAGCGTAGGTAAGTAAAGAACTGGGGGGTTACTTTAGAATAAAAAAGGTACCCCCTGGTATATCCTATATTACCAGACCCATACCTTACTGACAACAAAGAGGTCCTCTCGTTTCACAACGCCTTCCTTGATTTTCTGCTGGATCCCTTCCCCGACTTCGTTCTCGTTCTGGTACACATAGGCACAGTCGAAGTGGCGGTACCCGGCATCGATGGCAGCCGTCACCGCAGCTGTCACTTTCCCTGGCTGGGACTGAAAAAAGCAACGGCAAAAAAAAGCTCTCGTCAACACAGCATGGAAGATCTTTCTCACGGCAAGATAAAACCAAGAAAGCCACCATATCCAAAGCAAACCAAAATTAAATAAAACCAGATCCTAGCGGCGGCCTGGCCGAGTGTCAGCGTTAGCAAGGCCCGGGCAGCGCTCCTTCCTTCCCCCGTCCCCATCGCCCTCACGCCGCCAGCCCAAGGCGGCGTGCCCCGGTCCCGGTACCTTCCATGTGCCCAGCCCCAGGATGGGCATCTTAGCTCCGGTGTTGAGCTGCACGTAATTCGCCATGACTGCACACCGCGGCTACAGCCGAACCCCGCGCCTTTAATAGCGAGCGGAGCGGGGCCGGGCCCGCCCCGCCCGGAGCGGCGCGGGGCTGTGGGGGCGGCGCCGGGCCCGGGGATGAGGAGCAGGCCGCGGGTCCGGCTCTGTGCCGGGGGATTGGATCGGCCCGGCCCGGCCCGCAGCCCCCGGGTCTGGTTCCGTGCTGGGGGATAAGATCGGATCGGATCGGATCGGCCCGGCCCGCAGCCCCCGGCTCCGGCTCCGTGCTGGGGGATAGGATCGGATCGGATCGACCCGACCCGACCCGGCCCGGCCCGGCCCGGCCCGCAGCCCCCCGAGTCTGGCTCCGTGCCGGGGGATCGGATCGGATCGGCCCGAAGCCCCCGGGTCTGGTTCCGTGCTGGGGGATCGGATCGGATCGGCCCGCAGTCCCCGGGTTCTGTGGGACGGGCCTGGCCCCCGGGACTCTTCCTTAGCCCCTCGGTCCCCTGGAGCCTCATCCCGGCGTTGAGGGGATGAGACAGAGGGGACATGAGGGGCCATGGGGACAGAGGGGCAGAGCTGTGTCCCCGCGCCCCAAGAGCTCTTGGCGCTTTGTGTGTCCCAGGACATGGAAGCGCTGAGCCCCGTGTCAGGGTGGTGGCCCGGGCTGGTCCCCACAGAGTTTTGTTGCCCTGCGTGTGCTGATACGGCCACACGACAGCAGAAACCTCGGTGTGCCTGGCTCCTGAGAGCCAGGAGAAGCTGGTTCTGCACCAAGGCACAAACGCAGCTTCCACTGGAGCTGCGGCTTAGGAGTACTTCAGGATAGAGTGAATCTAAAAAAAAACCCCCAGCTTTATTTTGAATCGTAGAAGAGGGTTTTTTTTGGAAGTCTCGAAAGGGGAGCAGTGACTTTTTAATGAGTGACATAATGATCGTGTTGTCCCTGTGTCTTTAGGGAAGTGCTGAGGACATGGCAGGATGAAATGCACGATTGTAATCACACGCTGTAGTGGCCAGCAGCCTCACACCAGAATGTGGCTCTGATGCTTTTGCAGACAAGCATTCGCTGTTCTGCTGAAGACGTCACATGCAATGGAAAAACCCAGACTTGCCTGGGAGGCTTTGCTGCTGATTCATGTGTGGAGAGTTTCTTCAGGTGTGAGTGTTTCCTCTGAGTGCCTCTCCCTGCTCTCTGCAGCCTCATATTTTTTGCTCCATTTAGCTAAGGGTGGCAAGATAATTGGTTTTCCTCTTTAATGTTCCTCCTGTTTTGTGTCAGCACCATCAGGCATCCCTGGCAGGATGTGCTTTCACTCGGATCACAAAACCTTTACACAACTTGATGCTTCTCGAGCTTGGGTTGAATTTTCCCTCATGGTTTCAAGTCAGAGAGATCCTCCATCTCTGCCTCCATCCTGTCACAAGAGGCTTCAGGCAGAAGTTCTGTATTTTGTTAGTGCTGTTAGCTCTTTCCCTCCGATCTGTAAGACCAGTCAGCTCTCCACTGTTTGCCTCTCCCGAAGGTCTGGTGGGGGCCTTGGGAGAGGAAGAAGTACTGCATGTGTCACCCTGTGACAACCAGCCTGCTAAATCTTGTGCCTGGTGTCCTTGATAGCATGGCCAGAGAGTGCTGACAATGAGGAACTGTGAGGGGGAAGTCGTTCTTGTTTTCTTTTTTTTCCCTTTGATCCACATGCACTGAAAAGGGGTGTAATATCATGAGTTTTCAGTTTGTTTTGCTGACTTTGCATTTAGTAACTGTAATTTCACCACAGGCTGTGACTTTGGTGACCAGCAGTGTTTGGAATCTGAGAACAGGGCCCAAAATAATGGAAGTGGGTATGTCCTCATGGACAGTGTTTACCAGAGACATCCAGTGGCCTGCTGAAAAAAACATGAAAGCAAAGTAGGGAGGTGACAATGCTGCAAGGTGTGATCATCTCTACGACTAAGGGGAAGAGCTACAGCTTCAGAGCTACCATCAGACACAAGCATAGCTTAAACCAGGGTTTGGAGGTGAGGGCATGCAGGTTTCAAGCTTGAATGGCTGGGAAGCACTGCAGGAATTTCTGCTTCACTTGGAGGTAGATTTATCTTGCTCAGTGCGGGGTTTGAGTTTACCCCCTGGGTGCCAGGAGGCAGATCTGAGGATCTTGGCCAGCCCTGACTGTAGAAGACCTCGGCTTCTTTGTCACTCTGAGCTCAAATCAGCCCAGGAGCACATCTTGGTGCATCTCCCATATTCTCAGAGCTGGTGATGCTTTTTGTCCTCATGCTTTTGTCCTTTAATCACACCTGCTGAAATAACAAGCCAAGGATAAGGCAGTGATCCCACCACCCCTCTCTGGTGGGAAGGACATGTCTAGTTTAAGTTTAATTTAAGGAAGCAGCAGGGGAAGCCTGGGCAATCCATGAACTGATTCTGGCCAGCACTGAAACTGGTGCTGTACCTGGGGTGGCTGAGTTCTGGCAGATGGGAAGCACCTGTGTGTCCTCCACAGTCCCCCTCACTCCAAAGGGGGGTCCTGTGGGCCACCCCTGCTGGGCAGGACAGTGGCAGCCCTGGGGACAGCAGACTGCCCACCCAGGAGCTCTAGGACACAGTAAGCAGGACTGAGTGGTGAAAGGAAGCATCAGGCACCCAGCATCACCCTCTGAGCAACCCTTGGTTCCAGGAAGGGACTGGGATGGCCTGGATGTAATCTGTGGTGACAAAGGAGGGGTGAAGAGGAGGAGAGGGATGGGTATTTGACTTAAACAGAGGCTGGGGTAGGGGGAGAAAGGCATTTACTCATTTGTTCTTCTGTGTTCTTTTTTTTACCTGAGTCACAGCCAAGAAGTGGAGTAGTGAGAAGAGCTCTGGAAGGAGCAATGATCCTGGCCCTGGGAATACACAGCAGGGGAAGTGGAGCAGCCAGTGCATGTCCAGGAGGGAGTACACACAGTGTGCAATTGCCTGAAGAGAGGAGGCATCTGGGCAGGCCAGTGCTGGGTAGGAAGATGACTTAGAAGAGAGAAACAGATGCTTTCTGAAAGCTCATGGCCAAGTGAAAACAAAGCCTCTTCAGGGAGCCTGAGTTGCAGGGTTGGGTAGGCCTGTGGGGGTGGGGGTGCTGCTCCTCAGAATATCAGTGATCTCTTGACAGTCCTTTGCTCAGAATGAAATTGCAGAAATATTGAACACTTGCAGCAACTGTCCCTGCAGTGGCTGTGTCAGTGGTGGGAAACTGAAGCAAATGGGACACAGGTTTTTGCCTGGTAAGAGCAGAGTTCTGAGAAGTTTGGGCTCTCTGCTACTAGCAGGCACTGCCCTTCCCAAGGGAGGAAGGTTTTAGGACCCACTAGTGAAGGGCTGTGGGGAGAAATCGTCTGATCCTGCTGATCCCACAGATGAGAGTTCCCCAAAGTTTTTTGAACTGCTGGGTTGTGTTTACAGGCAAGGGGGAAGAGACCCTGAAAAAGTGATGATCACTGATGCTGTGGCCTGGAAGCTCCAAGGTCTGAGCACAGTTACTACTGGTATCATTTGATAAGCTGTTGGGACATCAAGGAGTAACTTACACACACTGTACTGTTTGGTGCATGCCAGAAGATGAGCAGATTAGTGGCACAACCAAGGATAGAGCTGAGAGTTCAGCTTGGAAAGCGTTTTAGAAGCAGTTGGAAAACATGTTGACTGTTACAGTGTTGATCCTGATAATTTTGTGGGAGAAGGGGTGGGTTTGGGATATGTGTCATTTGTTCACACTGGTGAGGTGTTAACTCCAGTGGTCTGCAGGGGCAAGGGGTGGGGTTTATAATGAATATCCAGTAAGATGATGATTGTGTTAAAGACGGAGTTTGAATAAGGAAGAAACAATTCTTAATATATCTTTCAATTAAGTGCAGGGTGGAATGTAAAGAAGATAAATTGCCGTGGTGACATGTGTGGAGACCCCTGAAACAGATATAAACATCCTGCCTCATGCCAGAATTTAAGCTCACAGTACTGTGACTCAGGAATACTTCTGGAGACCCAGGTGCACCTTTTGAAGAAGATCCATGCTGAAAAGACTTAATTCCAAGGGGACTGCAGCTGGTGGATGAGTTATGCTTGAACAAGGAATGCCCTGAAGGCTCTATGGCAACTGAGAAAGTATTCACTAAAAAAAAAAAAAAGCTCCAAACTTGTGCATCATAGTAACATTGTACCTTTATTGTTCAATAAAAATGTGTGTTTGATCTCAGCAGAGCTAAGTCTCACCTCAGCCTGGGGATTACAGAAGGTTTTATGGGTTGCTTCCTTTAGGAAGCTGCAAAGCAAACGTTCTTGGATTACATTTTCATGAATTGAAAGTGGAAATTTTGGAAAGAAGTCCATAAGATGCTCGTTTTCTTGAACAAAGATTTTGCTCTTTTGCCTTGAAACCCAGTGTGCAACTTGGTAATTGTTTTTGGTCACCTGCCCAGGCGCTGGGAGCGGAAAGGTGACACAGCCCCAAAGGCAAACACCTGCTGATCTCCCCTGGGGCTGTGGGGCCAAGGGCAGTGGGATGGGTGCCTGGGCTGAAAGGGGAGGTGGATGGAGCTGGAGGGGCTGGAGCTGCAGCCAGAATTTGGCCCTGAGGGGATGCTGGCACTTTGGGGGCTGAGCTGCCCGTGCCAGCAGCCAGATCCTCGGGCTGTGTGACATCAGGGATGTCCCTGCACTGCCGGGACAGTGGCTGAGGGATGGCCGCCCTCTGCTGCTCGCAGGGAAATGGGGAATGGGCTGTCCCAGGGAAAATCCACATCCTCAGGAGGAAACGTGGCTAAAAATACTGCCGACCACGCACCTGTGTATTTGCTGCTTCTGAAGTTTTTTAGTTGCTTTTTTGTTTTTTTTTTTTTTTTTCCAAGAGAAAGTTTTCCCTAAGTAGGAAAAGCTCCTTTCTCAGTTACTTCTGGAATGATAAAACTGCTGGCCTTTACATTTCACATTTCTCAGATTTTTCTCCCATAACTGCCAACTATCCTCCTGAGCGTGTTGTGTTGAAGCAAGATAAATTAAAAATGTGAATGTGTAGTTCAAAATCTCTCCCTCGCTAAATGCGGATTTCTCAATTCACATTTTGACCGAAAATTATTACAGCCCCCATTTTATTATTTTGGAAAAAATTTACTGTATCTTTCAGAAAGAACAAACAAAAGATGATCACTGAATACATATGCTGTGACTTCACTGGCTGCAGGAGGAGAAATGCAATAAGAAAGTCAGATAAATTGATAGGAAGAATATCAGACCAAGCTCTGAAGGAGGGCAGGATATGAGCATCTTCAGTATTCTGCATTGAATGGGTAGTCCTTGTGAGTTTTGCCCCTGCAGTGAATAGAAAACTTTGTTTTAGTCATAATTTTCCTTTCTAGTTTTGCTTAAAGACGCCATTAAAGTGGGATCTGAACTCTAATTGAAGGATGTGTTCATTCCATATTTGTTTTCCTCTACAGTATGTGTTTTTTGTACACTTGGAAAATCCCAATTACTTCATCATTCAGGCTGTTGGCATTCTAGGCAGTATTTAAGTGTAAAACCTCTGTGTATATAGTTACAGGTTTGGAGAAAAATACTGAATGCTACCACTTACATGCTCATTGTATAGACTCTCCAGTTTCTGTTAAAGCTGAAAATAGTTGTCATCTCCTCTTTAGTCAATTTGAAGTCAAACACCTAAAAAGAGAAACAGCTGGGAATCACCCCTTTGAACAAAACAGAGGCTGTAAGCAAAATCCACAAAATTAAAGAACAAGTCTGCAAGGGAGGGTAGCTGGTTAAAACACATGACTGCTTCATGAAAAATAGTTGGTTAGAAGACATGACTACTTCATCTCTCTGTATCACCAAGAATGCATTGGCAGAAGGAATAGAAAAATTCATCCAAAGTGGCAGTTACACATGCCAGCTGTTACAGGACACTTGGCAGGCTCTTGCATCTGCCACTTGTAAGAGATTAATCTTTCTGTCCTATTCCAAAAGAACATCTACAAGATTTCCATATTTCACTTAATCTATCTAGGCTTTTTGAAATCCTAATGACCAGTTTCAAAGACCACTGAATTAACAATAGAGCAAAATGGTTTGTGAACACCACAACTGTTTTCTTAACATTGCTTGCCCTACACAAGCCTTTTGTGGCATGCTGCTGCACTCAAGTGCCAGTGAAAAACCATGTGGCAATTCCTCTCCAGTCTGCAGAATACAAGACACCATGTAAAGTGACTTCTAGAATTATCAGCATACTAAAATAAGACTTGGTTCACTCCTGCTCTCCAAATTTAACATTAAGTTTAGCCCTTAAAGAGTTAAAAAGTTAGAAAGTTAGAAGAGTCTTTGTATACAAGTTATGAAAAGATGCCAAGACTGAACTGATTTTAGCAGCTGTTTGCTGCTGTCACCACGGGACAGTTTCATTTCCATGGCTTTGTTAATATAAAGTTAAAATAAAGCATGAAAGAAAGATGAGCATCTCAAAGAGTGTGTAAACAGGCAAAAAGCCTGGTGGTGTTGCCTGAGCAGGAGCTGGGAAGAATGATAAAGGATCTTCTCCCTTTCTGTGCAGGGAGAAGCCCGGCCATCCCTGAGGGGCAGCACCCAGCTCATTCCTCATCCCTCACCTTGAAGTTCTCCACGATGCGCTGTGGGGAGGCAGATTTGGGAATCACAATCACATTTCTCTGGATCTGGAAGCGAAGGAGAACCTGCAAGAACAGACAACTGTAGCTGTGGAAAGGGGTTTTAATCCTTTAAGTGCGGCAGAAATAAGATGCACAGCTACATGGTCGTCTTTCATGACACAAAGAAAGAGCCAAGTTTATTCAGAAACACACTTGGTTTTATAGCATGACTGCAACTCCAAGAGTAGAGAAAAGGTGATTGGTTCAGAGAGGAGACACCCCATTGCCAGGGCCTGGTCACACACCACAACAGGGGTTCTATCTTGTTATTAATTCCTTTTTATTTTGACCAAATCATCACCCTGGGAGAAGTTCTCCTTAGCCTTGAGCTGGACCAGCTTATCGGCTGGGAACAGAGCTGAAAAGCTCCAGCCTGGATTATTTTTTCAGGCTGTAATTTTCTTACTTTCTCAATGTGTCCCACAGACAACTGAATCATTCCTCCTGCTCTGGAAGAAGCACAGCCTGTTCCAACAGCTGTTATCCCTGTTTCCAGTCATTCCCATCCCTGCAGCCGTTGTTGCCCTGCCTGAAGAGCAAAGAGGGAAGTGGTGGAGCCTCACATGGAGGCCTCCTTGCCCATCCAGTTTTGAGCCAGCCAAGTCTTCCTGCTCACCCAGACTTCTATCAGGATTTCATTCCCTTCAAGAGGACTTGAGATGAAGAACAAAACATTCCAGCATTTGAAGATGGGTCATGAAAATCCTTCATGATGTCAGAGCACACTTGAGAGTGTGCACATTGCAGGCTGCACAGAAAACAGACCCTGCCCTGCTGCCTCTCACCAGAGGGGACTGGGAACAGAGCCAGCCTGTTCTCTACATTGTCATTAGCAGTCCTGTGTTACAGGAAGGGGTACCCACAGTCTGGCATCCATGTACCTGGGCTGTGGATTTGTTGTGCTTGGCTGCAATTTCTTTGATCTTGGGGTCATCCAGAAGGGAAGGATCCTCTGGCTTAGCCCTACACAGAGGAGAGATAACACCAGAAATGTGTTTTGAGATCAATGTCTAATAATACACTTACTGTCTCAGTGTTCCAAGCATTACCCATGCCAGCTCCATCACAAATTGCAAAGCAGTCTTACCATGGTCTGTCAGGAGAGCCCAGGGGGCTGTATGCTGTCACAGCAATCCCTTTGGATTGGCAGTAGCTCACCAGCTTCTCCTGGGTAAGGTATGGATTGCATTCAATCTGCCAGCAGAAGAGTACAGAGATTGATAGAATACATCTATAATTCCCAATTGTCTCCCAATGCACTTAAAGGCTGCTGTTTGTCCTCTTGTGTCAGTCTTTGCAAAGTATTTTTCAGCTGTAGTTTTCTACAGCACCTGCTTCTACAGTGAGATTTCTTGTACCTCTGGGTCTTTGCTCTGGGAAAAGAGAATTTCATAAGGCTCACCTCTGGGTTCTTTGGCCCTGCTACTTCGGCATGTTCTGAGGTCCTTCTCAGATTTGTAAGCAGTAGCTTAGCAAATATTGAAAACCCCAATGCCTTGTATGTTCAGCAATAATGTGGAGAGGGATGAGGACATGCTGCATCTGCTCTGTTCTCCCTCATCTCTGTTCTAGACATAAAAGCTCCCTTTCCCATGAATTGGTGTCCCTTTCTCATGTGGTATAGTTTTGGACAAAGATGCATTTCTTTTTTTCCTTTCAGCATGCTCTTTTTTTGTAACTACATGCAGTGGAAGGACTGGCAGGCCCTGGAGACTGAGGGAACTTGGTACTCTTAGTAAATATGCAAGAAGTACTGAATTCAGAACTGTAAGAGATGTCTGAGTCTGTCCAAGAACCCTTGAAGGCATTAACTTCTGCAGCTCCTTCATACAAAAGGGCAGTGGCTGCTGTATGCAAAGACTAGGTGATTTTTAAAATATGTGTATATAAAAACACTCTTTTTTATTTTATTTTACATAAATCAGGGTAGATACCAGGAAGTCACTAGTATGTAAATAAATGCTCTGCTTCTGTATAGAAGTTAAAACTGACCTCCCTTTCCCACTGGGTGACTGAATTGTGGATTCCTGCATTAGAAAAAAACACATGTTGTGTGAGCAATTATCTGCTATTAAGAACAGATTGATGCCATTACTAATAACAGAACAAGCATTTTAAGAAATTCTTTTTGCAGTTTGTGTACCACAACTTCATTCCCTATCAGGACACAAATCTACAACACCTTTACATGCACTCAGAAATAATCACAGGGTGTAATGTGCTGTGTCTGCTTTGTTCTTCCTCTTTGCATCTCCTAATTCAACTGTAATTGGATCTTTATAATCCCACCAAACCAGTCACCTGATTATTTGCAGGTTTGTACTTCAGTCCTGGCTTGTTCAGGATTCTTTCAATCTGCTCATGGTTGAAGTTGGAGATTCCAATGGCTTTTACCAGACCAGCATCCACCAGCTCTTCCATGGCCTGGCAGGAAGGAGCACAGTCAGCACCAGTGTACAAGACAGGCCCTGAAGGAATTATTCCCTGTGTGGCTCCATTTCCCTTCATGGGCAAGGGAAGACAACTGTTTGGAGCTGCAAAGATTGTCCCCTGGGGGAAAGTGCACCCTGGTGTGTTTGTGCCGTGTCCTCCACCTCACCCAAACAAGAGGGCTCCTTCCTTGAGCTGGCAGAAATTCACTCTCAGTTATTCTCACATGGGAAATAAGGATAATCAAGGACATATTCTTGAGCCAGCACCAGAGGGCTGTATTGCAGGCTGTGGGTATGATCACAACCTAATTTATTTCAGCAGTTTAAGGACAGTGGTGAGGACAGTTCTGGTTCTCTTATGGCCAAACAGTTTGGTTTACAGCTTCACTAAAGGTTATCAGCTTGACTGAGTATGTATGTTTTGAAAAGCTACATTGTATATGGTGCAATAAATACACAAGAATTTCGAGGCTGCTGAAGGTAATGAAAGCATGGAAAAGACTGCCAGGAATAGCTAACATGATTTCCCATCCTGGCTGAACTTACCTCCCATGTATCTAGAAAATCTGTGTTGCTGGGGATAGCCATGCCTTTGTCATCTGCAGGAAACAGCTCCTCTCCTGCCTGTCAGTGACAAAAAAGAGTGTTTCAGTCTCTTTTTTTTGTTAGCAAGTTAATACCAAGACAACTGAAGACCATGATGACTTCAGCTACTAGTACAGAAAATACAAATATTTGTCCACATTGTTCCTGGTAGTTTTGCCAGCAATCATTCCTAGTAGGAATGATCAGGTATCATTCCTAGTAGGAATGTCAGGTGTATCTCCTAGACCAAGCAAAGTGGTGACTCACTAAAACACATATAGATAAACAAGTCACACCACTTGTGGAACAAACAAGCTTCCTGTACTCCCCTATTATTCCTTTAAGAGAGAA